TGCTACTAAACAAATCGTTGAATGAATACTCGACCAGAAATCTTACAAGAAATCCAGATTTCAAAAGTGGGATTATTCGAGAGAAAAGACGAAGAGTTTGGTTGAGTGAGAAAGTAAATCCTGGTATATATAGAGCTCTTGTTACTAAACAAATCGGTGAATGAATACTCGACCAGAAATCTTACAGGAAATCCAGATTTCAAAAGTGGGATTATTCGAGAGAAAAGACGAAGAGTATGGTTGAGTGAGAAAGTAAATCCTGGTATATATAGAGCTCTTGTTACTAAACAAATCGGTGAATGAATACTCGACCAGAAATCTTACAAGAAATCCAGATTTCAAAAGTGGGATTTTTCGAAAGGAAAGAGGAAGAGTATGGTTGAGTGGCAAAGTAAATCCTGGTATATATAGAGCTATTGCTACTAAACAAATGGGTGAATGGTTGCTTGACCAGAAATCTTCAAGAAATTTGGATTTCGAAATCAGAATTTTTCGTGAATAGTATGTCTGTCGTTAACTAGGGAATCATGTTGCAGATTTTTTTGTGGTTACTTTTCGGATCGTAAGTTGGGCTCCGATTGATACTTATGTGGAGTAGATAGGATGGAATTGAGTGAACATATTGCTCCAAATTTAAAGCAATGACGGTGCGGGAATGAAGGAGTAGTATGTATGGGAAAGTAGAGCGAGTTATGCCTTGTTTATAGGAACGAAGAACTGGGATGTGAATGTTGTTTTTCTAGTTTTTGTAGGGCGATGTCTTTCACCTCTCCTGATGTTTTGGAATATACTTTTTGTGTTGTGGTTCTAGTACCTTGAATGATGTGAATAACTTTTTCGGAAGTGTTTGTGAATATACTGAATGAAAATTGCATGAGATGTTTAGTGGTACTCATTGTATTGGTAGAAATATGGTTTCTGGTACTAAATGATGGTATTGATAAATGAATGAATCTGAGTTTAGTACGCTGAGTTGATGTGGAAAAAAATTAATTTTCTGGTACGTTTGTTAGTCGGAATATGTTTGTTGCCTTAGTGGCAGGCGGAGTTTTGAAGCTGAGGGCTTTTCCCCGTCTTTGTATTATCTATGTTGAAAACAAGCTGCATGCTCATAAAAATGCTGTTTCATGAATCATGAGGTTAGATTCTCATGTATATGGTAGCTTCGACATGGTGATTCACTTTGCATCGGAAATAGTTTTCGGAAGTTTTGAAGATAAGTGATAAATGCTGTTTTTCTGCATGAAACCTTGATTCTCGTTAAATTAATCACACTTCTATTCAGTGGAATAGGACTAAAGATGCATTAGGAAAAGTTGATTTCGTTTATAATTTTATTGTGGAGACTGTCAAATAATATTTAGTTTATTTTTCCTTTTTTTTCTTGATATTGTTAGTAATGTTTTGGTTTAGGTTGTTTATGGTGCAACGATGAAAAGGAAATTACCAAAAAGCATTTCAATAGCAAAAAGTAATATGTGTATATTAGACATATATTATGGTAATGGAAACGATGAAAACGAAGTTTCAATGATAGCTTTCAAAACTTGCGCAACGAAATACCAATTGTTGGTAGCATAATACTTGCGGCATACGCTTCTTTCACCGAATTATAGATGCATTGATTTTGGAGAATCCACTTTGAGATTTATAGAATTTCAAGAATTTATCCCTCGCGAACCACTCTAGAGTGAGGGTGCGGGTAAGGGTAATGATGAGGTCGACGTTAATGTTAGCTTCTTTCGACAGTAACTATGCTCATCATCACTTTCACCTTCTCATCCTTCCCGTCACCGGCACCCTCATTGTGAAATTACCCTGTGTGGGTAATATCAGTATTTTTGAAGAGGACCCCTATTTTCACCCGATAACCCCATTCAGAAATGGTACCATACGATAGAGAATTAAATTCTGCACCTAACACAATCATTTATGGAACCAGCACAGCTCTACAGGCGCATCCGGACCAGAAAAATACGAATCTGATGCTAACTTTAGGTATGTTAAAAAAAGAGTCAAATCTTATGAGTAGGTATGTTAACATAAAGAATTATTTAGTCTCGAGTTTAAAATGGTATGAGTAAATTTAAGTTGCGTAAATAGAATGCCTTTATTGACAATTTGATCGTATCTAGAAAGAAATCTGTTGAATCAAATAGTAACACAAATAGGATCTTATGTCTGTTATTGTGATTATATCTATTATTAGCCACTTATTGTAACCATATAAAAGGTTTTGACGAAAAGTCAGATTAACAATCGAATAGTCATTTATACAATTTTAACAATAGATTAAAATAAATTAAAAATAATGATTATCAAATCTCATCCATCATTTTGATTTAGATATCATATTAAAATCAAATTAAAAATAACGTCATTATAATCTATCAAAATTCGATTATTAATCGAAAAATCGGTTTTAATCTGACTTTTCATCAAAATGTTTTTACATGGGTGTCACATAGAACAACATGGATTTCTTGGATATTTGGTATTATAGTTCAGTTCATGTACGTGCAGTTCACCCTGCAAATTCAATTTCAGATAGGAGAATCTGTCAAATTAGATCTTGAGAAACATTATGTCTAGCTGATGCGCACTGAGCAAAGTAAAATCCACTTTCGCAGTCTTTTTTACCAGTTATTCAAGAGATACAAGAGATACTGCTAATTAAACATTTCAGTTGCAATCTTACACAAATCTGCCTCAATTGAGAGACCCAATACAACAATATTCAGCATACTGTTTCTAGAGTGATCATTTTCCACACTTAATACACTTAATACAAAATCGTAAAATACTCTTCATGTGGACAGAAAATTTTTTAAACGAAATCCGAAATTAACTATTGAAAATTTGTTGATTTATTGATAAAAATCTAAAGAATGTATACGTGAAGAGAATTTTACGAGGCAAGGAATGGTGTCGATCTCAGATTCTTTTATGAAAATTTGTACTATTTTTGATAGATTTGAAAAAAAAGTGCTTCAAATTTCGGTTCTTCTACTAACGAAGTTCTGATTTTGCCACTATGTCTAAGAAAAGTAGTTCGTCGTCGTTAACAACTGTGCAAGGACACTAAAATAAAAAACGATGATCTTAGATCACACCGTTTACAGCTGGCGCTCACAACATCTTATGGTATAATCCGAGTGTCGTTTACAGTCGCCGCATTATTACAGTAATCGTAAACGGCTAACGTTTACGGTCATTCTTTACGATGAGCGTAATACGCTGTAAAGCATCGTATATGATTGCCGTAAACGGTCACTGTATACAACTGCTGTTTGCGATATCTTACGATATTATCCGAGCATCGTTTACTGTCGCCGTATTTTTACGGTTGTTGTAAAGGACGAACGTTTACGGTCATTGTTTACGATTAACGTAATCCGCCGTAAAACGTCGTATATGACTGTCGTAAATGGTCACTGTAAACTGCTGTCGTTTTTCGTCGTAAATGATTGGTGTACGGCCGTTTACGGCCGGGCATGAACGACCTGGGAACGCGCACACACACAAATTATCTCCTCATCGTAGTCTCTGGTCTTTCTATCTAAGAAATAGGAGTTCATACAACTCTCAACGAATTGTCATCTATGTATGCATCGATATTGGTACCAGCATTACGAATAAATGTCATCGTATAGTCAATACTTCGTGTACCGGATGGAATGCTGTAAAGATTGATTTGATAGCACCAATTTGAATGCAGTGTACAATCGAGAGCTCCTGCAGTTTGTGTACCCAATATAGTGTTAGTAGCAGAACGAAATGTAATTGTTACTTGAGCATCATCGTATGCAGACCAATAATCGTACCAAGTTTGATAATAAAATGATACTTCAGCACTTAGCGTTCCGGTATCAATTTGTGCGGTAGAAAAGTTTTGAGTTCCATTGATCAAATTTACATTCTGCCACAGACTTGATGGAGCCCCACTTGATCCATAACCACCTGCAAAACAAGCAGTTCCCGTATGTTGATTGTAGCCACTATTAAGCAGACCACCCGTGTCTTGAAGTACGGGAGACGACCCAGTTTGTGTCCAACCAGCTAGGGCAGATAATTCAGCACCGGGATTGATGAGAAGATTTAGTGGAACCATTGTTGTCGTAGCTATATTATATGAAATAATCAAAAGTTGCCTATGAAAATAAAATCAATTCTGACTTGTAGTCGTTGTTAGAAACTATTTTGATATCGCGACACCAATTTGCTTATCACAAGCAGTTTTCAAGATCAAATTTAATGTCATAGATCGTGTGCACTTTTACACCATAAATAAAAGATCATTATTTGTGAACAATCTTTTGTTGTCGTTGTTGTGCCTAGAATTGATAATTATCACGATATAAATAGATTTAAAATTCACAAATCAATCATAGATTGGTTGGAGATTATGGTGACCAACATCATAGATGGGAATAGTACCGGTCTGCCTAACTTGAATTTAAGGCTAGTCTTTACCGATAGATCTTTAATTTACGGCTATACCTTATTCCATTTTCCGATTCTATTAGAAATGATACTGATATGAAAGTTGGATAAATATAATAGTTCTTTATCTATAAGGTATAGATCTTTTATTCAATTGAATCAAAATGGAAACGGCTATGCTGGTAAACCGCGGTCTACCGACATTCATAGATCTGACTAGTTCAGTATGACTTTTTCAGATTGCTACTGATACCAATCATCAAAAATCCAGATCGGCTTCATCTGTGATCAACATAAAACAAAAATCAGAAAAATTTTTCGTATTTTACATTTGATTATTGTACCAGATACAAGATTGATATTAACTTTGATAATGAGTCTTCTCAATGCTTCAATGATACAGCTTTAATAGAAAAGCGAAAATTTCCAGTAGAATAGTAGTCTAAATTGATGATTCTTTGTTGAATTTTCTTCCGCTTTTCGATACAAATTATCTTTTGGCTTTTTCTTTGATACCAGCCTTAGATTTACGCACTACATATCTTCAAAAACAAGTTGAATCTTCCTTTGGGTTAGTATCCAATTCTAAAGTGCCAAAGATATTGTTGCATGCCTAAATCTACTGAAATTGATGTTATTAGATTTGAAAATGGATAGCGGTATCAAATTAATTCTGAACAAAAATCCTAGAATATCTATTACTCTGTAGAAATCTTGATAATCTAGATCATCTCTCTAGAAAAAAAAATATGTTTTTTTTGTAATGGCATACACTGATGGAGTCTGTTTAATGTAATCAAAGGTCGTTTCAATCGAGGAACGTGTGCAAGCAGCTATTTTTGCTCAGCACTGCATATCAGTGCTCATCTATTGCTGCTAACATCTATAACTTTATTCAAACATCAGTTAATGGGAAAGTGTTTTCTGTTATAAAAACTATCTTCGATAGATCAGAATTAGAGATGTGCAAGGTCAAGGTGTTTTAGTCCCGATCCCAGCCCAAGTACCAATAAATTTTCTATTTTTGGTCCCGATCTCGGAGACTTAAGTTTTTCAGGTGTTGATTAGGAACGGCACAATATCTTTATTTTAGGGAGTGAGTGTAAGTGTGAGTTAGTGTTTTTAGGCCTACAAACACATCACTCTCACTCATACAACTACCCTTCGCATATCAACAAACAAAACTTTGCTTATTTATGAGACCGAAAAACTCGATTTCACTCACTTGTACTGCTTGTTACACTTGTTGTAGTAGTTGTGGTTACAGTGGTAGTTGTGGTGGTTGTACTAGTAGTGGTAGTACTGCTTGCTGTACTCGTTGTAGTGGTTGTGGTCGTAGTGCTAGTTGAACTGCTTGTACTGCTTGTACTGCTTGTACGTGTAGTGGTAGTTGTGTCAGTTGTCACTGTAGTAGTTGTAGTTGCTTCATGAAAGTATGCATATCATCGTATAATTCACAAAAAAAAACATATGAAACATGATATACATATTGTTGCTAATTACTAGGGGTCGACAAGCTCAGCTTAAACTCACAACTGATGA